CGGATTGGCGCTTTCTCTGTTTCTTCAAATTTCTTAATTCCTTTCTCTGCAAATCACGATCCGCTGCTGCTTTTTGACGTTTTTCGTCAAAGTTTAATTTGCTATCTATTTGATCAGTTTGATGATTAGAACTATCTAATGGCAAGTTTTCTGGGTCTGATAAATTTGTATTTCCTTTCTTAATCTGCTTACTAACCAATTTAGAAAAGATATAGGAAACGTTAATATGTTAATAAATATATCACGAACTCATTAATATTTTATGGATAAGAATCTAGAACTATTAATCTTAGCCACATTTAATGATGTTGACAAATCATAAGTAATAACTACCTTGAAATTGGAGATAAAGGTGATTGGCTCTCTGTTTCTATTAAATCCGGATCTAATGCAGGATTATTGTTGTAAGAGTCCTTATGTATATATGGTTGCTTTTGAAGAAAAAACTCTTTAAGGCTCTCTCGTTTCGTTTGTAGTACATCATGTTTCTTTTCTTCGGGTAAATCGTTTATATTTTCTGCAAGTTCAACTGAATGAATGGTCTTATCAGAGGAAGTAACGTCATTAGAAGTCGAAGTTCCCAGAGGGATAAGTATCGAATTATTGTCGTCTGGAAGTATGGGTAATTGCTGCTGGATTTCTGTATTCAAAATGTTGGCAGTCTGATTCTGAACAATATTAATATCGGGGTTATTCTGCGTATTCTCTCCTGACAACAAACTAATTTCACTATTGTTGTTCAGTGTAATATCATGTGTATCTTGATGCACCTCTTGCGTCTCTTGCTTATGTGATTTTTCGGTGCAAGAGTCAATGTTGGATGTGTTTTCAGGTGAAGTAGGTGAGGGTAGCTCATTTTGTTTATTTTTTTTTGCATTTTCTTCTTCTAGTTTTCGTACAAGTAATAACTCGCGCATTGTTCGTTCTAAGAAATCAAAGTTACTTGAAAGTAAGAAGGAATATTTGTTTCCGACTTTGTGTTCAACAACAAAGTTAAAACTCACATGCCAAAAAAGGATCCTATATAGACACTACGTAAATGTTGGTTATGTTTGTCTTTAATACGTACAATAATAGTAAGTCAGGTTGACGAACTCTTAAGTCAAATTGTGAAAAAAAAAAATAACATATATACATGAACAACTTAAGACGAAAAAAAAAAAAAAAAAACAATAAGGACGAGTCTTGGGTTTATATTTACTCTAAACGTAAAGGACTACTTTATATCGAGTTAATTTAAATTTTATACATATAAATATAGATATATAATTAAAATTGGAACCAATAATAAAAAAAATAAAGGTATTTACAAAATATAAATACAAGAGCGTGTACAAGGTACGTATGTACGTACGTACGTACGTACGCACAATATGCTATATACCACCGCTGTACGTGACAATTAAGACACGTGAAACTTTCACGGTGCATGCAACCGTAACACTATTGGTTTTAGGGTTCATGAAACTTTTTTTGTCATCTAGAAAGATGCTGGCAAATGCGGCCGAGCGCAAACAAAAATATTCCGTAATGTCCATTGTCGGGACGATCATCTTGAAGATATATTTACCTTATCAGTTATCTAAAATCCCATTTCAATATAGTATAATTTTTCCTCAAAAAGACAAAAAAAAAAAACCTGCTGGCTTTTAGAAAGTTTAATCAGCACACCAAAAGTTTTAATGCTTTTAATCATAATTTCGAAAATTAGCGCAAAGGTTGCTCGATAAGAATTTGTTTAAATGGAT